GGGGGGGGGGGGCGGGCACAGCTGGCTCTGGCTCTAGAGTGGTAGAGCCAGCTGTCAATCGGGTAGCATGGTGGATTGCGACAATTTTTTTTAAAAAGACCACATACCCTAAACAGGGGTCTTAAACCTCTGGCCCTCCAGCTGTGGTGGAACTACAAATCCCATGAGGCATTGCAAGATTCTCACAGCCACAGATATGACTCCCGAAGAGATGCATCATGGGATTTGTAGTTTCACCACAGCTGGAGGTTTGAGACCCCTGCCCTAAAAACAGAGAAACCATAGAATTTACTTAATTATGACTACATCTGTAAGTGAAGCCTTATGAGTTTTGCCACACTGCAGCTGAAATAAACTAAAGTACAATTAAGTTAACCTATATATACTTGTGGGAATAATACAACATTTTGTGTGTGTTTTTTTTGTTTCTTTTTTTTCCCCCTTCAGGTGACTCGAAATACCACTCCAATGTATAGAACTCCAGAAATTATAGATCTATATTCAAACTTTCCAATTGGAGAAAAGCAAGACATCTGGGTAAATATTATGGCATTGCCCTCTTATTTTGCTATTATCTCGGTGATACATGAATAGAGGGATGGGGCTGAGCTAATAACTTCTAAAGTGGGAAAGGGCAGCACAACATTGAAACAAAATCCATATTTTAAAGTGTGCATAATCCCAAAAGCTACATTTTTAAAAAATATATTTTCAGTTTACCAGCCCTTAGATGTGGTTGCTGCTTTCATTTCTTTTTTTTTTTTTTTTCATGCTTTTTTTAATTTATTGTCACTAGATTGTTCTGCCATCTCCTACCATACAGATACTTTACTCTCTGCAGGAGCAACAGAGCCACCTAAAGAGTGCAGCAATATCAATCTGTGGAGAGGGTAGTGTTAGATGCACTAGCAGACTGTTACAGCAGAAGTGTGTGTTTTTTTTTTATTTTTATTTTTATTTTGGGATAAGAGTTTTACATAAAAGAATAAAAATTACTAACCATTCTAAGCACCCCTGTCGGTTTGAAATGGTTTGACTCAACCCTCTAACTGCCAGTTTTGCTGGACAGCTTGGCCTAATAAAGGAATTTGGAAAATAACAGACCTTCTGGCCGAGTCACCAGGTGAAAATAAATGAAAGAAAAACCTAGAAATGAAAACAAATGCAACCACCACCGCAAAGAATGTATAAACTGCAAAATATTACCCTTTTGTGTCTGGGTTTGGCCACACTTTGGGAAAACCATTTCCTAACTAGGATTCATGCGCTCCCAAAAATCTGTTCATGTGTCCCCCTCTTGGAAAAGAGAGTTGGGATCATCCTTGACTAAAGATTATCATCATTATTTATTTAATAATATATATTTATCTCTATGCACTCCCTGAAAATCTAGCTGTGAGGCCCCTTTCACAGGGGCTCATCAGGAGGGGATCCGTGCATGGATCTCTTCCTGATCAGAGCTTTATGGATGGAATGTCATGACTGTGACATCCATGTCCGTCCAGGTGTGTTTTAAAAAAAAAAAAAATTCTCTCCATCGCAAAAAAAAACAAATGACAGGACCCCATGTCAGTCTATGGGGAATTGGATTTAAATGGACATGTGTCTGTTTTACCAGTCCTTAGATGTGGTGGCTATCAGATATTACCCCCCGATCCAGCACTATCGGGTCCATCGAAACAAAATACTGTTCCATTTGTTTACAGCCGCATACCCCCAACTCCAGCCAGGTCCGGAAAGACAGACTCCCATCCGTTTAGATCTGGCTGCACATAGACTAGCATTGGGCATCCTGTCAGGCCTACCTGAAAAACTGACAGGTGGACCCAATCGGACCATGTGAAAGGTGCCAAAACCTTAATTCATCCTCTCTTGGAAGAAAGAGTTGGGATCTTCGCGGACTAAAGAACAATAAACAAATTCTTGGTCATGCATAGTGTTTAGCTCTCTCAAAATTTCCCTCCTGAGAACCTGCTGTGATGGTAACACCAGCTGGAAGCTCCATATATGTTCTTTCTCATTTTTATAACTGTTTTAGTTATGAACTATGTTGTCCACAACAAAGCAAGATTTAAACATGGAGCCTGTTCTGAAAATAGGCTTGTCTTCAGCAAAAGTGACCTATAGTACTAGTGTTTATTTTTTTCAGACGCTGCAGAGAAAAGTATAAATGTGCAATTCATAGGCAGTAATGCTTTTACATGTACTTGGATCACCTGAAGTGGTTAGTAAGTTTCCTTCTAAGGTATAAGTGAGAAACGGTCTCTGAAGTTACAGGATGTGTACTGCAGCCATGTTTCTTTCTTATTTCCCTAATGTCCTGGGTGGGTTTTGCAAGCAAGTAAAATCTAAATTAAAATGTTTTGTTCTGTTTTTTCTTTTTAGGCACTTGGTTGTATTTTATATCTGTTGTGCTTTAAACAACATCCCTTTGAAGATGGATCAAAGCTGCGTATCGTTAATGGGAAATACTCAATACCATTGAATGACACTAGATACACAGTGTTTCATGGACTTATAAGTGAGTGAACTATTTAACAGACCTTAAGGCTTGTGCTAACGGGCATTTTCCCTTGAGAAAAATTGAGAAAAGAGGATAATGTTGGCTTGACTAAGATATTCAAAAGCCTTGAGACTGCTGGGTGTCACCATCTTGGATGCAATCCCCAGCAGACTCTGAGCTGTCACTTAAGTCATATTTTCGATCATGTTTACGCACACTTAAAGCATTTCTTTTTTTTCCCCCTTCCATAAAATATTATTTATTTGGCTTGAAGTAAGCATTTAACATATGTGATTTGTTGTGCTGTTACCTGCAGTTATTTTAGGTTAATGACAGGGTCTTTAAGTGAAAGGAAATGTTTTAAGTTTTTTATAAATTTTTACGTTTTCTAATTCCTCATTTAATTAAAGTAATTGGTTGCTGGGTTACTAAACTTTGAAAATAGTCACTGCACTCTTTCCTTCTTATTTAGTAAGCCCAAATAAGGAAACAGGGGGTCTTCAATAAAAATGTAGGAAAGGAAATACATCCATGTTAACTATAGCAGCCTATATGATAACTGGCATTGAACCCTTTCAAACCAGAGCCGTTTTTGCATTATTTTGCATGCATGTTAAATCCACATTGTAGGGCTGATGATTACCTAAAACCTCCTAAAAATATTTTTTTTTCTGACAGTGGAGACCCTGGAGAACAAAATAATGACAGTAGTGCAAGTGTTAATTCAGCCCAAATACCCAGTTTTTTTTGGTTACAAATAAAAGATGGTGCTGTGCCAAGTAAATGCAAAACAAACATTTCAAGCTCCAAAATTGCTTGGACCAGTGAAACTGCAAAAACTTGAGTACCCCAGATTGCCATAGGCGACGCTTTAGTTTTGCAGAACAACCATGAGAGCATATTTTCATAAAATACAATAGTTTGTTTGTGGTAACACATTTTACATATAACTTATGGAGAAGAGTTTACTGGACAAATGCACTTTAAGATTTATTTCCACTTTTGCAGCCAAATTGGTATAAAACTTTTTTTTTTAAATATTTTTCAGATTCTTATTCACACAACTTTAAAAAAATTGTTGCTTACCATTTTATGTGCTCTTTTAAACAAAAGTTTTTTGTTTCTCTAAACTGAATTTTCCTTTCAAATGCAGGGGGACTGGAGATGTTAAAAAGAGAACTATGGCCAAACCTTTTTTGGCCACAGTTCTCTTTAGGGTCAAAGGAGGACATTGACCTCTTGTGACCCTAAAGTGGGTCCTGTGACCCAAAACCCAGCATGTAGCAGACTATATAGTGCTGTGCTGCAGCCAGGAAAGATCCTGGCAATTTTTGACCACTGACTTCCTCTATAGACTTGAGCCCGCCCCCTCCCCTGTCCCTCCAGTAAGCACTGCAGGAATGGAGAGCAGAGGAGGGTATCCCTGCAGGAAAAAGAGTGATCAGCGGTATGTGATCGCTCAGTTCTCGATCAATGGAGCTGATGTGTGACAGCTGCAGTGCGGCTCGAACTATTGGGATGAGTGTATTTCACTTTCTCCATAGTTCTCCATTAATGTTTGCAATTATTGCCTGCCTATACTGTTCTTGAAAATCTCATTATCGGTTGTAAACTACACGGTCTTTCCTAACAAAAGGTTGAAGATCTAGAAGCATTGGATGTAATGAGAGGATGCTCAGTGTGTCCCTAGTCTTTCTACGGGGACAGCCAGAGTTTCCTGTCACTTTGAAATTGTAGAGAGAGGCTTGCAGTTTGTGGATTAGGCTATTGTGCAGAGACCTCTAAAAGGTAAGAATTATTTTTAGATATGCTGTGTGAATAGGAACACATAACATAACATAGTGTACATATAGTGTGGTTTTGTCAAATTTTACTGCAAAACGAAAATACACTTTTTAGTCCTCGATTTCTCCCAAATGTCCATTTATTTGATCAAATATATTCAAGATTATTTTTTTTTAAATTATTATTATTTCTAATGGTGGTAGGTTACTGATGATGTTACCTTATGCTTTAACCTTGGATACTCTGACTCAACTTGGAAATATAAAATGTAAACCAAAAAAAAAAAGCACTTGATTGTTTAAATCTTTGTAAGCCAGCTTTTCTTCCAGTAAGCATTGCTTGTGGTTATTTTCTTTTCTTAGACTCCATGTTGAAGATGAATCCGGAGGAAAGGTTGTCTATAACTGAAGTGGTTGGTCAACTTCAGGAAATCGCTACAGCACGAAACATCAACCCTAAATCACCCATCACTGAGGTAATTTACCATTCCTTTAAGTCCCTTTTGTATACAATAAACACAGTTTCTTTATTGTCCATCGAGGGACACGGGAATGTAATATTTCTAAGATATTTGTGCATATGCCGTCACCTACAGCAGGTTTGCACACAGACAAATAAGGCTTATAATCCCGCCTCTAACCATCATGCCCTAGTTGTTTTTTTTATGCTAGTGTCCTGGGCAGTTGGACACCTTTTTCCTAAGCTTTGCTGAGAAAAAGCCTATATTCTTTTTTCATTCTATATCTTTTTTTTATCGTCAATCAACATACAACCCCAATTCCCAAAAAGTTGAGAGGCTGTGTAAAATCTACATAAAATCAGATTGTGATGAGTTGCAAATCTCATAAGCCCATATTTTATTCACAATTGAAAATATATCAAATGTTTAACCTGAGAAAATGTACCATTGTTATGAAGAAAAAAGGTAATTTTGAAATTGATGGCAGCAACATGTGTCAAAAAAGCTGGCAAAGTATGTGGTACTAACAAGGAAGAGCTAGGAGAACATTTTGCAACTAATTAGGTTATTTGGCAACAGTCAGTCACATGATTGGGTATAAAAAGAGCATCTTGCATAGTCTCGGAAGTAAAGATGGAAAGTTCACTAATCTGTGAAAAGCTGCGTCTAAAAATTATTGAACAATTTCAGAATCATGTTCCTGAATATAAAATGTCAAAAACAGAGAAATCTCTGTGTGCAAGGGACAAGGCTGAAACGCAATATTGGCTGCATGATTCTGTGATGGACATCACTGCATAGGCTCAGGAATATTTCCAAAAATCACTGTCTGTGCCATCCAAAAAATGCAAGTTAAAGCTCATCATGCAAAGAAGTAGCCATAGCTAAACATGATCCAGAAATGCTGCCGTCTTCTCTGGGCCAAAACTCATTTAAAATGGTCTGCTGCAGTGGGAAACTGTTCTGTAGTCATACTAATTAAAATTTGACATTCTTTGTGACCACCATGGGTGCTGCGTCCTCCAGACCAAATAGGAGAGAGACCTATCTTATCAGCACTCTGTTCAAAAGCCAGCATCTCAGATGGTATGGTGGTGCATTAGTGCACTTGGAATGGCCAGCTTACACTTCTGGAAAGGCACCTTCAATGCTGAAATATACTGTATATCCAGGTTTTAGAGCCGCATGTGCTCCAATCCAGATGGGAAGGCTTTGCATATTTCAGCAGGACAATGCTAAACTGCATCTATGACAACAGCTTTTTAGTAGGAGTCCAGGTGCTTAACTGACCTACCTCCAGACTAATTGAAAATATTTGGCACATCTTGAAACACAAAATACGACAAACATCCAAGACGGTTGAGCAGTTGGAATTCTATATCAGGCAAGAATGGGACAAAATTGCTCTCCCAAACCTCCAGAAACTGGTTTCCACGGTTCCCTGATGTTTACAGAGTGTTGTTAAAAAAAGGAGGAGATGCTACACTGTGGTAAAAAATTTTGAGACGTGTTGCTGCCATTAATTTCATAATTACCTTATTTTTTTCTTAAAATGGTACATTTTCTCCCTTTTTTAAAACCATTTGATTTATGTTTTGTATTATGAATAAAATATGAGTTTATGAGATTTTCAAATGATTGCATTCTGCTTTTATGTAAATTTTATAGTGTCCTAACTTTTTTGGAATTGGGGCCTTTTTTCTGCCTATATTCAGAGTGTTCAAACCTAAGGATACAGCAGAGGGGTTGAACTGGAAAAACATGCGCGATACCGGAAGTCCAATTAAGGAATCCGGGCGGCATGTAATGACTCGCTGCCTGGCTTTATGATTAGCAAGGAAGCTGGGTGGCATGTAATGACTCGCCGGCTAGCTTCCCGATTAGCCGGCAAGCCGTCTCCATGCTCCCTTGTCCCCAGGTGACAAGAAAGCATGGAGCTGGCTTATTGGCCAATCGGGAAGCCGGGGGGCGAGTCATTACACGCCGCTTGTCTTCAGGATTGGCCGGGAAGCTGGCTCCATGCTCCCTCCATCACCTGGTCAATCAGGAAGCCAGGCGGCGTGTAATGACTCGCCGCTCCGACTTTCTGATACCGGAAGTTCCAGTATCGGGATAGGCATTTTTTGTGTTGTGTGTTTTTGTTTTTTTTATTTTCGTTTTTGTTTTTTTTCTTTCACCACAGCTTTTGGAGCAAAATGGGGGATATGGCAATACTGTGAATGAAAAAGTGCTGTCACAGGGTTCTAAACCTGTTGGACAATCGGGTATGTACTTCTTATGAATTATTTTCTTACTTTGCTTGAAAAATGAGTTTACAGTATAATCCTCTGGTACCGTAGCTAATAAATGCTTACAAGCCACTCCGAAACCTGCTGTGGGATCATATATGGCACATGAAGAATTGCAGTCCATTGTTTGGATTTGTCTGTTTTCTATGGTGCCTTTTTAGAACGGGTAGCCAAACTTCGGTCCTCCCGTTGTGGTGAAACTACAATCCCATGATGCATCTCTCTGCGGGAGTCATGTCTGTGACTGAGAATCTTGCAATGCCTCATGGGATTTGTTGTTCCACCACAGCTGGAGGGCCGAAGTTTGGCTACCCCTGCTTTAGAAGATCAGCCTTAGTCTGATCAGCTGTCTTTTTAAGCAGACCTTCCATGCTAAACCTAGTAAGATAAAATACCGGGTAGATTTTTGATTTTCACTTCTTTACAGAATATCTATAGTGGTTAGAATTCCTCAAAAGAGGTGATTAAGGACAGATAAATATTTACAAATTGTTCTAGTTTGAATGGGAATAATAGGACCGGTTCACAAACTAGGCTTTGAAACTCACATAAGTCTAGTAATAATTGTCAGAGATATTTAATACAGATCTTAGTAGAACTAAAGTTACATTTTAAAAGTCTGCTAGCAGGTATATTTTTTTTTTTATGGCAGAAGAGAAAAAAAAACTGCTCTGTTAATGCTAGTGGTTTTTTTGTTTTTGTTTTTTTTTTCCTTCATCTTGCCTGTAATTCTACTTCAATACTTTTCCTTCAATTGTCTTCCAGAACAGCATATGAGATAGAGACTCCCACTGGGACAGGAAACATGTCGCCAGGTCAGATGTTAAAAGCGGGTCCTTCCAACAGTCTCCTCAGTCTTTGCATTTCATTTGTCCAAATAATGTCTGTAACAACCTTTTCTTATCCATAAAGAAGCAGTTAGCATCCACCTTACTATCTTTTAGGTCTTTCTTGGCAGACATGAGACCTCTGGCCTAACCTCTTTTTGTGCCCAAGTCCCCAACCTTTGTGTTGTCGGTGCTCTAGGGACATTTCACAGAGGGTGGCTCTTGTTGTAGGTGTTATTAACAGCACTTCTTTCCAACCAGGTTCTTCTAATGAAAAAGACCAGCAACGGAGA